TTGTTAAACTTTTTGACAGTTAGTATGTGTAGACCACTCAGATGTTTCAACCAAAAACCTGGCAGTTCATCTTCATGTAATGTTCACCAATTCTTGATCTTCTATATCCACATCTCTACCATTTCTGCTGTTATTTAAGTTATTTAATTTCACTTTTTTTATTTTTACCTACCTCCTTTATCCCAAGTTGCATTCTTATTGTATTTCTTTAGGTTGAGCCAAAGCTGCGCCCAGACTTGCTCTGTTTCTTTTTTGACAATGTTGATTGGTTTGTTGCAGCCTCTCCATTGACTGATTGGTAGAAACATTTCTGATTTGACTGAAATTGGAGATTTCAGGATAGTGTGCAATTTGAGCTTTGTATCTGCTGATCTTCTTGACTATAGCTGTCGTTTGTTCCTTTTTATTTCCTGTGATTTTTTTGATCTTCCTTGTTTCTAGGTGATATGTCTTGATCAAGTATTCTTTGATCTTCTTTTCTTTAACCTTTTTTTTCATTTGTTCTAGCTTGTTTACATCTGATTTTTGCATGCTGATCTTATTTTATAACCTCATCTTTCATTTTGGCGGTGTGTTGTTTAGCTTTTGGTTGATTCTGCATCCCAGGCATTCAGTTATAACTGCAGCAATGCTGTACATTAGTTTCTTGCAGTGAGTTGGTGCTTATATTTGACATTACAGTATTTGCATCTTTTATTGCTTGTGCCAGCTGTTTCTTTGGAACAGGCAATCTTACTCTGTTGTTTTTGTGCTATTCTAGATGCTCTAGATGCAGTTATTATTTATTTCTATTTCTCTTTTTTTGTTTTTTCAGTTAGAGGGCTTTGTTCTTTCTGCGGAGAAGGCAGAGGAGATGGTTCCTGTTTTGGGAATAAAAATGATGCCATAGCTGTGCTGCCTTCCTCTACTGTCAACTCCCCCTGGTTTGCCTCTCTACTCTGAGCTACATCTGGCAAGGCTGTGATTTCTTTGCCTTGAGTAGACTTCTGCAGGTCTTCCACTTCTGCTTCTGTAAATACTTTATTTTGTATTATAAATCAACATTGATCTGCTAGCCTTTGTTCTGCTATTTCTGGTTCTGACTATTGTTCTTTCCAGAACTGGCAAATTCTTTACAATATATTACCTTTATGTTGGACTTGTTTTATAATAACAGATCATTATTTGTTTTCAATCTTTGCATACTTCCAGTGGGTAAACACCTTTTCTATCAGTAGTCCTGAAGCTGCTGATCCTGGCTGCTCAGCAAACAGCTCTAAACCCTGGGAGCTCATTTGTCACCAGATGTCCAGAATTCCAATGCCTAGCATGGTCCTTGTTGACCCAGGTCACAGCAGATTGGGTTGGGGTTTCTGTAAATTACATTGTTGTTTGTGGCTTCTCTGGTGAGACCTGTCCAGTATTGTTGGACCTCTGGCATAGCTCTCATCTCCCAGAGAGCATACAATCCTGCAACCATGTCAGGGTATTATTAAAATGTATTATGGGCTCCATTCCTAAAGGAAGGTTTCCATATGGTACTCTGAACTTTCTCATACTGCTCAATTATTTGAGTTTTGCAGCTACACTTTCAATACTATAATTTACTTCGGACAGCAATATACAGTACACATCTTTGCCATGAGGATCTGAATAAAAAAAGCAATTACTTAGGGAGATTAAAGTGAGGAATAACCATCCATCAGCAGAAGTGCCTATATACTCCTGATCCTCAACCTCTAGTAGTTAAGGGCTCTCACTCAGAGTGGTGCATGGTTTTTTTTTTTCTAGACTGAGGGTCATACTTGTTTTTTTAAGTACCTGGACTGCAAAAAGTAGAAAAGATGAGACCAAAAGATTTGGGTAGCCAGGAACCAATGTTAATTTAATTTAATTTAATTTCCAGTTAATATGATTTCTCCCATGTATTTAATAATGTAATAAATTATTACACTGCATTGGCATTGCATGGAAAGCTTGAATGGGACCATGGGGATTAATGGGCAAAACATTTGGGTTGACCTACAGACATAGGAGGTCTCAGTTTGTGTCCATTTTCTGCCTGTAATTCCAAAGGTTATGATACCCTTGTAAGGTATGAGTGATAGATGAAAAGAGGACTAGCTATTTGCTAGTAACTGGGCCCAGTGGTGGGATTCAAATATGTGAACAACCAGTTCTCTGTGTGGATCCTGCTTCCAGAAGCCCATTCTGGGCCTGGGCAACAAAACATTAGCTACCGGTTCTGCTGAACTGGTGCAAACCGGCTGAATCCCACCACTGATTGGGTCCCAATATGTTCCTAATTAAAAGCTAGAATAACAGTGCCTTCTTTAGTATGATATGGATTTTTTTTCTTTTAGTGCTAAAAGTGGTGCTGCATTTTTTGTGATTTGTGTAAAAAGCAAGAAACACAAGTAGAATTATTCCTGAGTAGTTCTTTATTGTTGTTCACCTACAGACAGAATCTTACCAGGCTAAAGCAACTATCTGCATAACTATTAGATATACTCTGCAAATTTCTAGTGAGGATTCGCTTTCACCTTCTTCCTGCCTTCCAGTCATTCCAAGTTCTGTTGTCACTTTGCCCTCTCAGATAGAGCTCCTTCCTCCTGTGATTCCAGATCTCAATCCATCACATTAGTGACCCTCGAACAAGTTGGAATACACTATCTTAGAGGCTGATTTTGAAGTGGTTCTGTCTAGAGACCAGAATCATCGGATTGGATCTATACTTATGACCATACCGGCCTTGATTTTTGATGTGGCAAATAGCCTCAAAGATTCAGATGACATCTTTCAGTGGTTTTGGCTCTGGCTGCAAGTACAGCACAGCCTAATTTGAACACTGAAATTTAAACACTGTTTTTTATTAGTTATTTGTGTCCTAAATGTGTGTGATTGTCAAAAATCATCATTCTTAAAGGTCATTCCTACTACCTATGTCACATTTTGCACTTGTGGCCTGCTTCCTGCTATTTCCCTCATTTATTTTTGGTCAAAGAAATCACATCTCCTGAAATATTCAGCTACAGATTGAGAATGGTTGGAAACCAAATGGGCATTCTGGGGATTCTACTGTCAGGGGATTGTGGGTGTCATGATGAAATGCAGAAACCTTAAGAACAGCAAGATTGGTTGCTGAGCCTGAGATCTAACAAATGATAGACTGTCAGTTGCTGGATAGTTCAAAAACAAAAGAATAAATATGAAAATAGCTTTCTAGTTTTCATGGAAAAAAGAAGCTTCTGCTTTCCCCCTTTATTTACAAAAAGAGGAATACTTGGTTTAACCATCACTAAGAGTAAATATACAAATCTTAATCTGAAAATGATAATAAGTCACATACATGGATCAGCCCAAAAGATAAGACATTACCCATCTTGGTGCCACAAGTTACTAATAATTAATTATGCTGGCTTAAACAAAGAGGGCTAAGAAAGTATCTACAATCCCCTCACATCCTGGACACAAACTGGACACAAACAGGACACCTCTATAGGGCATTGCATACCAAAACAATTAGACACAAAAACAGTTTTTTCCCTCATGCCTCTGCTGAAGATCTAATTTTCACAATACTGTCTTATGTCTAAGTATATTTAACCATGTAGTATAGCTGTAGTATTATTATCCTTCTCATCTTTTCTACTACCTTCTCCTATTGGTATCTAATGATTATATTATTAGTCGTTGTTTGTATGTACATATTGTTTGTATGTTTGAGAGCTTATGCACTGGAGACAAATTCCTTGCATGTCCAATCACACTTGGCCGATAAAGCTGCTCTTCTCTGCTCTGTTCTGCTGGTAGTGTTCAACTTACAATAGTTCATTTAGTGACTGTTTGAAATTACAACTTCACTGAAAAAAGTGACTTATGACCGTTTTTCACATTTACAATTATTTCAGCATCCCCATGGTTATGTGACCCAAATTTGAATGCTTGGCAACTGGCATGTATTTATGATGATTGCAGTGCCCCAGGGTCATTTAATCCCCTTTTATAACCTTCTGACAAGCAAAGTCAATGGGGGAAGCCAGATTCACTTAACAACCGTGTTACTAATTTAACAACTGCAGTGATTCACTTAACAATTTTGGCAAGAAAGTTGTAAAATGGGGCAAAACTCACTTAACAAATGTCTCACTTAGCAACAGAAATTTTGGACTCAATTGTGATTGTAAGTTGAGGACTTCCTATACTCTACTGTATGTTGGATTGCTAGCAACTGTTACGGACCCTGTGTGCTGTTCTTTAGCAGGAATAGTTGTAGTTGTTGTTTTAATAGATGACATATTTAGAGTAACACTGTCTATTGCTCCCAAATAATATAATCTGATTTGTTCTATGGATGCAAGATATTGCTAGATGAGTCTGCCATATGGATCAATAAGCCAAAATATTAGCATAGCATTTACAAAGAATTTCAATAGAGTCCAATGAATTATACTGAAAGTGATCAATAGTCATATGCCCAATATGAGAAGAGAGATTAAACTATTGCTATACACCTCTTGTTTATTCATCATTCATTAGCTGACCTTACTGACAAATCCTGTCCTATGAAGGACCTAGCATAGGGAACCCCAATATTCACATTGGGGAATTCTCCTCCAGTAATTTGCTTTCTGTATAGTTTGATAAATATCAGATCCAATAAAATTCAAAGAGGCCATCCTGATTTTTTACTATTTGACCCAGCAACCTCACATTGAGTTAACAGAAACTACCAGATAAGTAAAAAAATTGGGCACCCTAAAGTTTACATATTATTATCAAATGGCAAATATGCTTACTTCTTATTCTGCCTATTTTCCCTAAAACAACCACCTGTGATGTGTGTTGGACTGGCAAAAGTCACCCAGCCGACGTTCATGCCTAAGGTGGCGTTAGAACTCACGGTCTTCCACTTTCTAGCCTGGTGCCTTAACCACTTGATTAATATAGACAGTGCTTTTAAAAAAACAAAACATTTTTGCCACAAAGAAATAAAGCCCCAAATTCTATTTTGTGCGTATCTCACTGTGTAGGCCCTTAAGTAGGTCTTCTTGGCTTTTACAGTGTGCAGTGAAAATTCTTATCTCAGCACTATAATAGCATAACAAGTCACGTGAAGAGTGGCATTCCTGATGTCAGACGTGCTGCAAATATTCAGGGCACCTGGCATTCTTTTCCCAACTTTCATTCGATTATCTTTTCAGATACTACAGATCCTTGGTTATAACCAAGTTGAGTTCCTTTGAAAATTTTCTCCAAGCCACAGCTAATGAATGAGTCCTTTTGCAAACCTGACTGCTAATTTTTCAGCATTAATTTGCACAGTGATATTGCCTTGGATTCATTACATTACAGGTAAGAGACCTCATTTTGCCTGAAAGTAAAGTTATAATTTCTCTAGAATAGGCTTGAAATTATCATTATTGGCAAGATCAAAGGAACCTGAACAGGAGAGGTGAGGCTTATTGTAACAAGAAGAGAGATGATCTCTCAGTCTCCTTATTGTATTTCATTGCTTGTTTTCAGGACCCATAATAAAAGTCTGGCATAATAGGCAGAGGACTTGGTTAAATTGTAAATGCACATTAGTTCAAAAGCCCCATAGAAGTACACTGGTTTCTCTTATGCCATATGTTCTTCTTGCTTGGGTGCAGTGCTTCACATTTCTAGGAATTACAACAGAGGAATTCATGCCCCCTTAGTATCACTTTTAAAATTGTTGAGCTTGCTTTTTAATCAAGCTTTGTATCAGCTACAAATTTGCTGTATGACCTAATTTGAAAAATGTCTCGAAGTGCTGACTCAAAATGTTAGTGAATAAAGGCCAGTCATTACCACTGTGACACTAATGTGATGCAAAATAAAATTGAGTTGCATCAAGTGAACATTAGTTTACAAAAATGTTAGTGATTGAAGCCATTTTCTCTTCATATTTTATTTATATTTCTGAGATTTATATATTTTTTTCTCCTTCTCTCGGCTTCCCCCCACTCATTATCAAAAACTTCCTGAGTGTGAGGACAAAGAAACATCTTGATCCCTCTGTGTGTGTGTGTGTGTGTGTGTGTGTGTGTTTGTGTGAAAGAGAAAGTGCAGGCGAGGGGGTGGAGGAAAATGTGTGCATAGAATTAAGCCAGGAAAACGTAATCTGGAACATTCCACCATCAAATTCTAAATTGCTTCTCCATCAAAAAGAAATACCATTTTGCAAATTTTTACTAAAATATTTACCCAGAAATATAGTCCTCATTGTAACAGGCTCACTTTTCTTTGCTTTCTGAGGCAATATTTCACAACGTATCTTCCCCCCCTGTACCTTTATAATAGTTAGGACCTATATAAACTACAGACAAATCTAAAATAGTCAAGGGGAATAGAATACATGGTATATTGCTTTCTCCTTCTTTTAAAGTTCTTTATTGTTCTTGAGTATCTTTCCAAGAAAAAAAGGAGTTACAAAATTTCCCTTTACTTTTGTTAGCTTTGTAGCATAGTTACTTCTGAAGAAATGCCTTATCTGTCCCATTCCCTTTCATTCAGATTTTCAGAACTTCCTGTTACAAAAAGTCCCTTCCATTTGATGAATAAGCAGGCCACCTTCTTTGTATAGTAGCCTGTATAGCATTTGTATATGCTAGGTTTGTATAGCGGTCTTTATGTGCCCCAACTCAAGGCAATTTCTGTTTCTCTTTGAGAAAACGGGGGAAAAAATTCTTTTGGAGATCATTTTGCTTTCCAGGCTTGTTTCAATAACCCTCTTCTCTTTTTAACTGGAATGTCATGTATATATGAATGTCAAAAATCTTATGCATGTTTAGATGAATGTGTTAGTCTGTTGCTATTTTATTATTTGAATTACATTAATGTAAACTATTGCATAAACCTTTGCTAAACAACAACACTACAGAAGTACTCAATGCTTGTGGTGGGATAAACTGATTCATAGAACTGACTTTATTATATTTATTTATCTATCAAATTCATGTAGCCACCCATCTCATAAGAAGTGACTCTGGTTGGCACACAACAATCCAGTAAAAAAAATAAATACATAAAAACAACCACTACAAATATAAAGCAATCATTATTAAAATTAAAACATATAAACTGCAAGGTACAAGAGAGAGATTTGTAGGAAAGGAAAGACTAACACTTCTTGTAACAAGGCTGCAAGAAAAAAAAAGGTGCCCTTGTATAGGCTGTTAATGGTGTCCTATAGCTGGCTCATATTATTCAGACAACAAGTTTTCATTTGAAAACCTAAAAAGCAGAACTGTTGAGAGGAGCTTACAAGTAAACACTAAAAGTAACTTTCTGTAGGAAAATAAGGTTTTTTGGCAATGTTGGCACCCTACTTCTTAGCACAGTATAGGAATAATGGACCAATATTTTATTTATTATGAATACATGCTCGACAGTGGTTCTCAACCTTTCTAAGGCCGCGACCCCATAATACAGTTCCCCAAGTTGTGGTGACCCCCCAACCACTTATACATCACCGGGTGCCAGGGGCGTGGCCAAAGAAAAGGGGGAAAAAATGGCGGGCAGCCTTGTTTGGCGACCCCCGTGAAATGGTCGTTCGACCCCAAATGGGGTCCCGACCCACAGGTTGAGAACCGCTGTGCTACGACAATGCTACCATATGGAAGCTACTGCTTTGTAAAAGCAGTGAATGATTTGTTCTCTTTAAAAGATTATGGTATTTGGGTATCACAAAGCCTGAGTAACTTTTGTTGTATTTTTCAAAATGTGGATTGGATTTCTAATGATCTCTGAGATATAGCTTAACCAAGTCAACCTGAGGAATTCTTATAAGATCTTTTGGCAGGTTATAGCCACTTACATACATTCCAAATAAGTGCGTGAAAGAGACAGCAGGACTTTCCTTACAACTTTCCCATCAATATAGGAAGAATATTAGAACCTTGTAAGTTTTACACCAGAGGTGTCAAACTTGCAACATCATGTGATGTGTCGGGACATATTGCGACTTTTTTTCCATTGCCAGCAATGGGATGGGTGTGGTTTTGCTGTGATGCATCCAGCCCGCGGACCGGCAGTTTGATACCCCTGTTTTACACAAAAGGTTGAAAAAGATTTGAAGAGTTAGAAGGAAATCCAACTAAACGCACCTGGAAAACACCTTTGATCCTAAACCCCTTAGTTCCTGCTCACAATATGATATAAGCCGGGAAACTTTTTGTGGTCTTTGGCCAGCATGTATACACATATATACATATATTCATAAAGTTCTACACATGTTATAAGAATAAAAATTAAAAGAAGTTTAAAAAGTTAAAAAGGAAAGAAAAGGAGAAGAAGCGGATAATATTTTGAAGGGATGTTGAATGCAGGCAAAATTACAAAATTCAGATGATTACATAGATCTCAAACTCTATCCATAATGATGGACATACTGAATTCAGGGTTAGCATGTTTTATTCTGCCATAGACGTTATTTGGGAAATACACTTCATCAATACCTTTAAACAGTGCTTTTTTTGTAAAAAAAAAAAAAAAAAAAAAGGTGCCGGAACTCACACATGTCATACAACCCGCCTTGCCTACCCTATAAGGTTCCATCCAAAAAAGGTGCCGGAACTCCGTTCTGGGCGTTCTATGAGAAAAAAAGCCCTGCCTTTAAAGTAGCTTTTTATTCACTGTTCCTCTTCTCTGCCAAAACTCGTAAAGTTACAGGCAAGGATGAATTCCCTTATACTATGAATTTTTTGTTAAGTGACATTGCCATGAGGAGAGGGGTAAGTTTAGAGTGATGTTATTTCTCTACAAAGAAAATATATGCACTTCTATTGCACACATGGTAAGCCTTTTAAAAAAACTGAAAAAGCTTATCTGAAACTGACAAGGCTTTCCTCCATCCTTATCAATTACATAGGAGAGGGGCTAGAGAAAGAAACAGCTGTAGCAGGAGCTAAATATTGGATACATCATCCCTGTCCACCAAATTGTTTCCTTAATGGTGCAGGACAGAGGAGGATCACCAGGTGTTCCACTTTCTATCTTTATTCTGCTACTGTTAAGTACACCAAAGGGTTAAAGATGGAAATTGTAATTGTGCATGATAAGTACCTACAGTATTATTTCCAGTGGTTCTGGAAATTATCGTGACATTTGATATAGACAATGTAGACAATTTAATATTAAGTTTTTGTCCCTTTACCTCTTGGCTATGGTTCATGCCTCTATGCCCCTTTTTTGCTCTTTTTTTTGGTCCTGTTTTGATATTTGTTGATATTTAATACTTAAGCTTAACAATTAAGCTATTTATGTTTCCTGATAGCAGGATTCCGTGGCATGTGTGCTTGCTCTGATGTGAATATAAGGGTTGACTGGGATTGTGCTGAGTGCAAAATAAATCAGAAATTGCCTACAATAATTTTCCAACAGTAACAAATTACTTGCAGGATTTTGTCTAAGAACTTACAAAAAAGGATAGGCTCTCTTTTCATGATTACTTGGGAAAATGAAGTTAACAGCCAATATTCAAGTTAACCATACGGGAGAATTTGCTTATTCATTGTACTTCAAAGTAATGAATCAATATTTAAATTGGTAGTAACATACTTCAAATGAAATGTATATGTGTGCATGTTTAAATTATTGAAGGCATGTCAAACTTGCGACATCACGTGACGTTGCGCGACTTATAGGGACTTTTTCCCCATTGCCAGCAAAGGGGTGGGCGTGGTTTTGGCGTGACGCATCTGGCGTGATGCATCTGGCCCACGGGCTGGCAGTTTGACATGCCAGCCTTATTACTTATTGAGTAATAAATAGAGCACCTTAAAATAATGATCATACAGAGAGAGAGAAAGAAAGCTGGACTTATTTCTTTTTCCCCCCTTTCCCTAAAGCACGGGTGTCAAACTTGCCACATCATGTGAAATGTCACGACGTATTGCAACTCTTTTTGCATTGCCGGCAATGGGGTGGGTGCGGCTTCAGTATGATGAAATTGGCCCATGGGCCAGCAGTTTGACACCCCTGCCCTAAATCCTTTCCTAACTTTTTTTTAACAATGTGAAATATTGCATGAACATTATGCAAGAACCACAGTGTTTACATATAATAAATTTGTGAACACCCTTGCAAACACATCAAAGTAAGTTCTGATCACAGCAAAGAATAGCCAAACTATTGTTTATGCCATTCATAAAATTCACTACGATTTTAGGTCCCACCACGATTATTACTGAATTGCATCTCCTAGAGATGACTTGTAGGGCATAAATGCAATAATAGCTATGGCTATATATGGCCATGTTAGGCATACCTAAGAATCAAGATCATTTTAAGTCCTGTAAAATGTTGCTTTAGCTCCTAATCTTCACAAGGTGTCTCGAACAATGGCTAATTATCTGCAAGCTTGTTGAAAAATTCTGAGACAAATAGTAAATATAATCAATATATTAAAAAAAAATAGGGGAAATGCAATGAAAATTTATGATCTTAACATTCCTTCAGGGTCAGGCCATTTATCACATTCTCTCACTCTGGTTTCAATTACACAGCTTTTGTGGAAGGAACTTATTTTAGCAGGTTCATTTGCCTCAGTAGGGAATATAGGACTTTGGCCTAATGCTTCACCTTTAGTGCAGACCATTTGAGCTTTAGAACAAATACCAATCATCACTCTTTGGGAGAAAAAAAAAATCTGCATCAGAGTGGCCTACCGGAATGGGATTTCTGTCAAGGTAAACGGTTGTCGGCAATGACTGTGGTAGAGTGGGTGATAAATCCCATTTTATTGCTGAAAAATTCCAGCCTCTCTCCATGCCTGACAGCTCCCCACCTTCTCATACACATTTGGGGCAATTTCTGCACGATGTCCATCTGGTTCTTATTACGTCTCAACCTGCTTGTGTATGATCCAGGGGAAAAAAAAAGTGTAGGTCACCAACAGGGAAAAGAAACCAAGGTGAGGGGCAAGAAAGAGAAAAATGAGCAGAGGAGGTCCTACTTGCATTAGGCTATCATAAATAGGCAATGAAATAAAGGGAACAACCGTATATGGTCTAAATGCACAGTATTAGGAGCTTGCTATTTATCTGACTCCTCCTAAAAATGCGTTTTCTTTTTATTAGAACAATATAAGAGAAACCAATTCACACAGGCAAGCTTTTATTCACTGCCTCAGCATTCTCCACAATATAAAATTGAGAGGATATGGGAGTGTGAACTGAACCATTTAAGGAATCATGTCTGTGAACTCTTGTGATCATGGGAACTTCAAAGTGGTCAATATTTGCTGCATTTGAACCAGTATTTTCTTTCATGGAGTAGCTGCAAGGGCATTCTTAAAAAGTATAAAAAGTCCGTCTGCTTGCTTTGTATTTTCAGGAAACTGTATATGCATAAGTCTGCAGTGTACTGTAATAAGAATTATCCACTAGTTCTTGATTTATGACCACAATTGAGCCCAAAATATCTGACACTAAGCAAGACAACGTGTTTTGCCTCACTTTACAATCTCTCTTGCCACAATAGTCAGGTAAATCACTGCAATTAAGTAACTCATTGACTTTGCTTGCAAGAAAATTGCAAAAGGTGATCACATGACCCCAGGACACTGCAACCATCATAAATACATGTCTTTCTCTTTCTTTCTTTCTTTCTTTCTTTCTTTCTTTCTTTCTTTCTTTTTCTTTCTTTCCTCTTTTTCTTTCTTCCTTTCTCTCCTTCCTTCCTTCCCTCCCTCCTTCCCTTACCATTCTTTAAATATAAAACACAAACTAACAGAAATCTCTTATTTGCTTCATTCTTCCATTTATTTAATTTCACAAAATTCTTGTAGTCATCTTTTCTATATGTCATATCATTCAATACTCAGGTAAATGGAATCAGTGTATCATAATACAGTAAGAATAGGGATCTATTCATCTAGAGGGGGTATCTTTAGCTTACAGAGGATATTTGAGTGCTTTTTATTAGAGTTTTGGTGTTCAGCAAAATCTATATTGCTACGTCTATAATGTTTATTAAACACAGTACTATTTTACTGATTCACGTTTTGCCTATATAAGGCAGAAATCAAGATGTGAAGTGTTCACAGAATCCAGCTAAATGACTTTTGAGTATGGGCAGCATCCTATGATTATGACAAAACCCGATTAGATATAAGTAGGCATGACTGGTGGTCTTTGTAAGTAGTTTTGGGTAGTTTCATAACAATACAACTCTAAATACCTGGATTGTAGTTCATGCAGATGGTAAGGCATTGTTCAGTCTACATTGTTGAGGGATGAATGGAACTGGAAGACATTTATATTACTTGTAACATCAGGCAATAGACATTGAGTGGAACTGCATTAGCTGATCCACCATGTGGCCACTATGCATTGTGGACCCAAAACAATGCCAATGAATTATGCTGACCAAACCTGTCTTTTCAGCAACTCTATCCTAAACCTGGCTACTGCATACAATACAAAATGTACCCTACACCCTTCAATTCTTTATCAGAATTGATAAAGAACACCTTCCTACCTGCTACAAATTATTCATTTACCAAGTTCAGGATGGTTTTCTTTAAATCACAGCATTGCTGGAGTTCCCCAAATATTAGTGGGAAATTATTCCTGTCACATATATATTTAAAATTTCTATTACCCCAAGAATAACAGCAAATAATATACTTAAAAACTCTTTTACAAAGAAGGCTTAGTCACTTTAATGAAGTTATATGAACCTACTTAAAAGTAATTTATTTGGAAACTAGGATTTAGGCAATGCTATATCTAAAAAGAAAGCTGACAACATCATTGTAGTGCTGAAGGTATATGTTTAAATTATAAAATGGTTTAATATATACGCAAGGAAGTCATTTATTAGCTGAATAAGCTGAATATAAAAATATGTAAATATCTCATCAGTAATAAAAACATTTCAGCATCAGAAAAACTCAGCATTAGAAAAACTTTGTGTAACTCTAAAGGATGCTCTACAATGGTTTAACTAAACAGATTAACCTAATCTTCTCAGAAGCCTTTAGGCCTGCTTAGTTAACAGCAACAGCACCAAACCCCCACAGTATATCAAGACACAGGCTGCCAAAAGAAAGAACCCGTAATCAAACACTTCAAAAACCCTGAAACCGAAGCGACATCAACCTTCACTGCATAAGGTATTAGTGTAATGTCAGCCAATTGCAATCCTGCCTACCTTCCTATCTGGGTCTTGTTAATCTCATTCCTTTAGGTGTCTTCTTCTTCTTTTTTTCTTCTGCAGATTACATTCCAAATCCAACTCTTCCTTATAATCACCTGTATGCAGCCTTATAGTAAGTCCCATTTATTTATGATTTTCTGTTCTTATTAAATCTGTAGAAGAAGGGGACGACAGAGAATGAGATGGCTGGATGGAGTCACTGAAGCAGTAGGTGTGAACTTAAATGGACTCCAGAAGATGGTAGAGGAAGACCTGGAGGAATGTTGTCCATCAGACACGACTTCGCAATTAACAACAACATTAAATCTGTGCCAGTTGCACAGGGTGCTTTCTGGTTTTTCTCCTTTGGAAAATACTGCAATAGTATTTCCAAATTTAATCAAAAATATTTTATTGTGAAGATAAAATTGTATAACTGCCTAGAGTACAGCTGTCAAGCAAACCACGACATATATCGAAATTAACAAAATACGTTATTTTTTGGATTTTTAAACTACAAAGCCAAAGTCTATTTTAACTTACTATTAAATTTATTATTTTTAAAACAAGTTTCCTTTGAAAAGGAACTAGAAAAAGTACTGATTTTTTTTAAAGAAGTTTCTTCCTTTATGGAATGATAAAATGTAAACACTTTTGCAAGGCAGAAACTTAATCAATAACATAAGCAAAATGTAAATCAAAGATTTCACTGACTGCGGGTAGCCAGTTTAAACTGTACTTTTGTCCATAATATCAATCTATGTATATCTAAATTATATTAAAAACCTTTAAATGATTTTGTAATACCAGCTATTATTATAATTAAAGCATTTTATAAATCAATATTCTTGATAAATTCATATCCAATTAATGATGTAATCTAAACAAAAATAATGTAATAAAGATAATCAGGACTAGACAGAAAATCTTTAAAGGTTAAGGAGCAAATTTGCTTATTTTTTAGTCATTTTTTGGAGGGCAGATAAGGAAGAAATGTTCATAGAAATGCACTTGCCATTTATTTAAAATCAAGCAATTATCTATCTATCTATCTATCTATCTATCTATCTATCCATCCATCCATCCATCCATCCATCCATCCATCCATCCATCCATCCATGTTATTATAAATTTACAAACGGTTGCTTTGGAAACCTGTAAAAGGTATAGTTGCAACAATTAAAAGTTAGAGTCAAAACATAAATTAAGGAAAAACAAAATTTAAATTTGTAAGACTTTTTTAATTCTTTTTTTTTATATTCCAGATAGGGTAGCTGGAGGTTCATTATATACATGCTCCCACTCACTAAGTATGAAAGTGTACATTCAAAAGCTTAAATGCATTCATTGCGAAGGCTGTATAAATCCTCAGGAATGTTTTCAAGCAAGAGAAATATGTTCCTTATCTGCTATTCTAAGTACAGTTAATCCAGTTTATTCAAAAAATAACATGGGAGTAACTTGGGGTGGGGGAACACCATCATCACCTACTCCCTTTTCTTCCAAGCTGCACGATTGTATTAAATTACATAAAGTTTTTTATGAGTTACTTTATAGTCTAACAAAAATCTCTCTTGAAGAGATACAAGATAAAAAACAAAACGAAAACATACAGTACTGTGCATTATCATCCAGACCAATCTACAACATTTAATAATAATTATTAGTTGTTTATGTATTAAACATTAGTCAAGGCTCAGCTAACCAAGTTATACCCAAAAAATTAAGCGTGGCCGTTGGGGTGACACAAAACAGAAATGTTATTTTAATCCACTCAGACTTATTTCTGACATTTTTCTTTACATTGCATTGCCTTATTTAGAACAGTAAAAGTGACTTCTCCACTCTCCCTTGACAAGAACGGATGAGTTTGAAATCTTACATGGAAGGGAAAAGAAAAAGATCTCCTGTCATTCATTGAGAGATACACATTGTGTGCATGTTTTTGTATGTGTGTAAAACTTTACATTTAAATTGTTCTGTTCATTCACAACTGTTTTACCACTTGATGGAATTGACGTCTGAAGACTGGGAGAGGAGAGGAAGGAGAATAAAGTTTAGCTTTGAATGCATTTGAAAGCCAATTTTAATCATATAATCATTTCAGCTACACTTTAGAGAAAGAATGAGAAACCTAAGCTATTTATATATTGACACAAAATCTAATCTAACAGAAGACATAAAATGGTACAATTAAGTGAAAGAGTGAAACATATCAAGTTTAGGTGTGTGTGTGTGTGTGTGTGTGTGTGTGTGTGTGTGTGTGTACATATACAAACTCCTGTTGTCCCTTTTATTTTACTCCTTGGGATCACAGAAATTTTTCCAAAGCCTCACCATCATACTTCTGTTCGTAAAACTTTACCTGGTCTTATTGGTGTTTCAGCCTTTCCTTTTACTAAAAATATAACCTGTTCCTTGTATCAGTGAAATAAAAATCTCCAATACTTTACACAAGAAGGCCAGTTTTTTTTAAAAAAAGTTATTTAATCAGGTATATATGATGAGTCTATAAAAAACGAAACTTAGAGATTATAACAATTGTTTTTTTATCCCCATGCAAAACTATTTGCATTTTTGCAGTACATTTCATTTTTACTGTGTCAAAGTTAACAAGTGTTTGGTCACTTTGATAAAATTACATTCTTGCTCACTGTATATTATATCTGTCAGGTAGTCTGATTGCCAACCTGTTAATTATGGAATTTAGGAAGATTTAGTTCTAATAATTTCAGCAGATCATCTCACCGAAGTTCTGTAGATAGTTAAACAGGCTTGCATAATTAACAGGGTTGTGAAATCAGGATTTCAATCTCATTTGAGTTAAATGGAGTTACCACACCTGCCATTTACTTTATGGTGTAAACCTGCTTTCTGAACAGGAGAAAGCATAATTCGTGTAAACAAATATATGACTGAGATGCATGCCCACAATCTGCTCTCACCTGCAGATATTTACATCCACAAAACCTCATTGTTCAGTTCAATCGAATTATACAACAGTGACTTGTTAAAGAGAGTTTCCTCCTCAGGCAATGACAAGTTGAAGGACTGCAGAATGCTTGAGGCAAAGCCAAAGGTGCTGAGGGAGACCCGGATTCAGGCAATTATTGCAAAATAATGGGTTAAAACAAGTAATCATATATTTCACTTCCATTTATTCTGTTGGCACAAAAGGGAATTTATAAGGATATCCTGTTTGGAACATCATAACTGTACGATAAGCTTTGACAGCTATAAGCTGGAAATTGTGTTGGCAAAAATCAGGTAGTCTTTCACAGTAACAACACAATTACATTGGCTAAGAATCTCTGACAGCAGAGAATCTCTGTCAGAGAATCTCTGACAGCAGGTAGGGCTGTTCTCTCCAACCCATGTCATTTAAACCTTACCGGTCAGGTTACAAGCTCAAGGAGGTGTGTTAAGAATAGCCAAGTCTTAGTTGTGCAACAAAGCTATTTTGCTTTGTTGCAAGCACCAATTCCCGGAGACTGAAAACTTATTAAGAGGCAGAAGTCTTTTCTCTAGAGGACATAGTAATTTCTGCACAGCCATCACATGGTCTTGCAAGAATCCTGGTTTCTAAAAGCAGACATCATGATTTAAAGAGGTTAAGCACTATGGAAATTCCAAGGCTAAAAGCTGTTAGCAGTTTTTTGAGGTTTGAGCAAAGGAAAGGAAAAAAAAGCTAACAAAACCAAAAGGGGGTGTGGAGGGTGGTGGTGGAAACAACACATCGAGATGGCTGCATACTAGAATAACAAATTAGCTTGTTCCACAATGCCACCCATTTGGCTTATAATGATTGAATTTGGTGTAACTAACCAGAGGAAGAGGGGGAATCCATCTTCTGAGAATATTTCTCACTTAGCAGGCAGTAAGTTGCTGAAATCTCCTACTGTGGCTTCCTAGGGAATCAGGTAGTGTGATAAGAAATGTGTAGCAATTTTACAATTTTCACACAATGCTGCTGTTTCTTGGCCTGGTATGTGTGTGTGTGTGGGGGGGGAGGGAGATATTCAGGGTAGAATCCAAACAAAGGATATGTAAGCAATTTCATTTATTTTGATAAACCTCCTTCCTGCTCTAGAGCATTTTGCTGCCTTTGTCAAAGTGAATGACAACAATTTGGCCAACTCTCCCTAAGCCACACTCCACAGTGACAGGCAAATTATCAGAGGCCCTGCACTCCTTATTATCAGAGGAGAAGTCATCAGGAGGATGCGTGGAAGATCCCTCTCTCCTGTCACTATTTGTCAGTGGGACAAGGGCCACTGCTATGGGGAGCTGACAGGTAATTTCAACAATAACAATTACTCCTATTACTGGTGTCATAAATAATTCGCCCAAGGCACGACAATAGCAAAGCTTTATAATTCAATGCCATATAAATAAATGCCAGCAGGTAACAAGTAATTTAGCTCCAATCAAGCCATGGCCCTGGCAGTAATATTGTTATTGCAAGAAAATGGAAAATTGAAAAAAAAAATTCAATATGGTAATGAATTAAGAAAGGGTTCAAGGGCTGGAGAAAAGCACGAGCTTATAGCATTATTTTAATTGAGGTGGTCTTCATGATAACTTATTTTACTATTGCATAAAGTACATAAAATCATGGCTTAGCAGTCTTCTGTTTGGAATGCAGATAAACATGAATGTCACTTTCATTTCATATAATTAAATCATTATAAAGAATATTTAAAAAGCAGCAAGGATCTGTGTACTCTCTAGTGTGTGTCTCTGCTAGTGGTGGTGGTGGTGGTTTTATTTTAATTACTAATACAATCTAAATGTAAGTCACTGCTGGCTTCAGTGCCAATAATTCATCCTTACTGAGCTGTGGATGAGTGTAAAACATGTATTTTACATTCAGGATATGATATTTTTTTCCCCTGAGTTCAGATTTGATGAGAGTAACTGAAATTTATGTTTACTGTGAAGATACGTAATAAAATGATGCTCTTTCTTTCAAGATCCCATCCTTTTTGTGAGCAGGCCAATCCGCTCAGAGTACCAATATTAAAACAGAGCAAATATGACTTAGACATATTTACTCAGATCAACATCCACCCAGTTCCTCCTGCATAAGAGAACCTAAGCTTGCACTGAAGGGAAGCCCAGCTTCATTACGGCATGTTGATCCAACCAATTTGCAATTTTACTCTTTGACCACTAAGACAATGTGGCATCAGTTTGACAGGAGTAAAAGAATTTGAAAATCTCTAATTAGAAGAGCTGTGGAGCAATTAACGCATGTCAAATTTCACTTCATCAAGTGCCACTCTAATTTTCTCACTAAAAATTAATGGACTTTTTTTGTATCGCATGTCCCCTCAAGGCAATGTTGATTCAAATCTGCTCAAGATGCAGTGTTGCACAGCTAAGCATCTTCTTGATTACAATCCGACACACTTCTAACTGCTTTCATTCTCACTGCCAGAGATACTTTGTCAACAGTCAAATTACGCCATGCTGATAACAATGCATAATGGTGTTCCTCAAAGGAGGCACTTGTCATGAAACTGTGTTTCATAAATTACATCATTTTCTTTTATAAGAAATAACACTGCTTCAAAACAAACTTTTTATGCTTCCTACAGTAATTGTTCCATATGTTTGCTGTTTGAATCATTGACTTAATATTTAATGATACAAAAAAAGGTAGCTGTTCAAAGAACAGAATAAAAGAAACAAGAAGGATTTTATATTTTTCATTGCCTTTCCAAGATAGATTAGATGTAATACCCTGTAATTGTACAATGTTTATTGAGGAAAAAGATACAATTAGTGCCTAGAACAAGCTTCCTTATTTTCTTGTGATGTCAATGGTAAAGCTTCT